ATACATCTGTTATAAGTTCTATTTAAACTATTTATTTAAACTTGAAGAATAGTAACACGATCCTTGGCAAAATAAAGATTGAAATTAACTTGCCATGGAAATTGACATTTATTCGTATCAACTTCAAGTGTATATATACTATGTGTTCGTTCATTGGTTAACTGTATTATTTGTTGATCACAATCAATTAATAATTCTACTATATCATTAGTTTCTATATCACCATTGTAGCCATTAAATCTAGAGTGGTAAATCCCATTGATCAAGACTCGATCACCTCCACACCAACCATAGCTAGATTTGTTGCAATAGGATACCTCTCGTATAGGCACATTTTTGCATGCAACTCCAATAAATAACCACTTGTTCGTACCATTTACCTCAATCTTAAATCGAAATCGATGTTTTCCTGAAACATATTCACCATTGCCACGTACAGTTGCATCGCCATTAAATTGGTCTTTGACAATAACTTGACCATTATCTTCAATTCTAATATTGCCAATTGATTGTTCAAAGATTTCTTTTGACGACTTTGATAGCAAAATGTTCGGCATAAATGAAATAATATTACTTTTTTCTTGTCTAATGCTGATATTTGCTGCTTGAGCAAAATCATTTTTCAATTTATTAAGCTTTTCCATCCAATTTTTTAAATGTATTTCATAAAAATCATCATCTTCACGAGCTTTATGTAATTCTAATGTAATTTTACTTAAATCTTCATTCAATTCAGCTATATGTTGATTAATCAGATTTTGTATGTGTTGTCGAGCATCATTAGCCGCATGATGAATTTTATTAATAGACTCTTGCCCCCATTCATCGATCTGTTTTATATAAGAATAATATTGTGGTTGTTGTGTTTGTTCAGTTAGACTTTGTCGAAAATGATCATGATCAACAGTTAAATCATTCAATTGTTTTCTTATTTCTTGTTGATGTTCGACAACATGTCGATTACAAAAATCGTTTTGACAACCTCGACATGTAAAACATCCAGATGCTTTACCACATTTTGCAGTGTTTTTTGTGATGTTGATAATATCATTCTTTTGTAAGAAATGAACTTCGACAATAACAAAAAATAACTTTTGCGTAGATTATTGCATGTGTACACAATATTTTTTTTCGTTAATCGTAGAAAGACAAAAAGGATGATATTTTTAGACTCAATGAAAAAAAAACAAAATCTCGTATATTTAGTCGTGTTGTTTTTCTCTTATCATATACTAGTGATTAGTAATGAAGTAAATAGAAGATTAAAACGAATATCGATTTGTAACACTTTCTGCATCTTTTTCACAAGAAGCTCATATAATTGAAACGAAATAAATTTATATGAGATGTTAATAATGCTAGATTTTTATTTCATTATTATAATGTAATGTTTGATACTGATAAAAATGTAATAAGACTTAATATGAACATAATGTACAATAAATATTGATAGTGCTTCATAGACTCTCGTTATTTTACATGCATATTTCGGTTCTATTAACATTGATTTCCATACAAGAAATAGATTCTTATAATAACGAGGCTTACATCATAAGAACTAATACAGTTCGGGCAAAATAACTACTCGATATTCATTTCACTGTAAACAAATATCGATCTAAATTGTTTTTTGATTACTTAATTGCTGAATCTTATTGTAAAGCAACTTAAGAATTTTCACTTTAGGATTACACTTTTTCATTTATTTTAAGAACAAGAATTAAATATTGATAAATCGTTTTAATTAAAATTCAATTCATTGCACAAGGAATTTCACAACAATAAAAAAAAAACGAATGAAAATTTTTATATAAAAAAATAGTTTCAACAATGACTTGTATTATCAAGACTAAGAGATCATAAGATACTAAATTTTCTTTTTTTTTAATCAAATTATTGAAGGTTCATTGATAGATATATAATTTATACTTTTATTAACAATTCTCTTTGATCATATTTCATAAAATATTTTGAACTGAAAATTAATAGTCAAAATTATCAACATTGAATGAAAGACTATGTTAATAGAATCTTCATTTCATAACGATTATAATTCATACATTTTCAATTATAAAATAAAATCATTATCAATATGATTTTATATTGAAGAAGATACAATATTTGGTTGTTTTTCATTATATTCAATTATTTTATCACTCATATACATATTTTCTTCAAATTGTTTCTTTTCTGATTCCTTATAAACATTCACATTAATTCCTTTTAAACCAATCATTCTTGTTCGACTTAATTTTGGTATTAAACATATCCATTTATCTTGTTTAGCTCGTCGACTTACAATACTATCCCAATTTTTATATTTAGTCCATTGATTTTTAAACCATGACCATCTTGTTCTTGCTGTTGACCAACCCCAAGAATCAAAACCTCGAGAAAATAATGTATATGGATCAGATAAATTAGTTGAATAAAGATTAAAAGAATGAATAGAAAGAATTTTCGAATTATTTATATTTAATAGTTTTTTATATGTCCATTGATGATAACGATAAAAATCAACAGATGGTATTAGATCAGATTCAAGAAGAATGGCTCCATCAGCTAACATATATTCAAATGCAAATTCTAATAAAAATTTAACATTAGCAGATGTAGCATATTCATTAGTATCAACATAACGTGGTAAAGAAAAATATGGAGGAGTATGTGGAAGAATAAGTATACGAATATGTGATGATATAGATGATAGTGTAGATGTAATCGATGATAATGCACAATCTTGAGAAATAATGACAACTGTCTAAATATAGAAAAATAAATCTGTGAAAATTAAGAATTCAAATATACTAACAAGGAAACTACTATCTCAAGCGACATCTGCCGTTTGAATTCATCTGTGATGATAATGAACTATGTTTAGAAATTCAATATCTTGATGAAGGAACAGTCTGTTCGGTTGAGCCTTTTAGGATATTCTAACAGTTATTATATCTATCAATAGATAAAACTTTAGATCAAAATATCGTTATTCGATCTTCCGAAGAGTATTTAAAAATGGATCAAATATATAGTAAAGTGAAAATAATCTGGTGTCAATGAAAACAAACCTTTTTAAACTTATGGCTAATCTTATTGGTATCTGTCTGTAGATTTAATATAAGTTCAAATATCTAGTGTCAATTGGAGTTGTTCTCTTGTAAGTAATTTTCATTTAATATAAATATTCATCAATCATTTTTACCTCATTTATTCCATCAACTCTAGTTAAACCATCTAAAACTCTTTTTAAATAATGTGGTCGATCACAAACTGGCATTAATATTGGCATAAATTGATTTCTTACACCATTTATTGTATTCCATAAATTACGTTTATTAGCTTGAATTAAACTTTGTTGAAATCGATTTGTACAATAGAATGAATAATAATGAATAGATGAAAAATAGAGTAATAGTAAACAGAAGATAAATAATATTAAAAAACGTATAATTAAAAAACCATGATGTCGAAAGAACAATATACTTGATTTGATTATGTTAAATAATTTTGTACAAGTACCACTACAATATTTCATTCTATTTAACTAAAACAAACATCAAAAATCTCCAACTTCTTTTTTTTCTCCTTATAAAAAAACAGTCGTATGGAGTGAAAGTAAAGATGTTGGCATACTATCGCAAAACAAGAATGCAAAGAAAAAAAAAAGCGACAGAACGACAACGATAGGTTACATTTTTTTTTTTTTTTTTGGTAATAGAAAACGACGATGCGCATCGATAATTGATAAGAATGCGTAAGTGTCATGTGCACTTTTATTCAGAGAAAAAAAAAGAATATGACTCAGACTAAAATATATGACTAACCTCAATGCAATAGTTTGGAATTAATTCATCAAAACACACAGCTATGTAAGTATTATAGACGATAGACCGAAACATCTGCAACTATAGCAAAATGATACATCTGATTATCATGAACAAAGGAAAGAAAGAAAGAAAAAAAAAAAACTATAACATCAAGCCGCCAATATTTTTCTATTCTTTCTGCTATTCGTGAAACGTCATATATTTTCTCTCGTTGACTCGCGAATTATTTTACTCTTCCTTCATAAAGACGTCACGGCACAGTATTACATGATGATCATTTACTATAGAGTAATAAGTAAACGATCATAAACCAAACATGTATTTATGACGTCGAACATCGAAATAACGTAATGATCACTTTTAACGTAATAAATAAAGTGTATCAAATTCAGACATTATGTGATAGACTGGTATAACTTAAGTAGAAAATCAAAATGTTTATTATACCTGAACATATATCAGTACCTTATAAGAAAAAATATATAAACTAATTTCGAAATACATTCTATTGCTAATATTTTCTACAATAGCATCTATATTAGACTGCTCTCCTTTTTCTAAAACTGTAGATCTTCTTAAAGAAAAAAAACCTATAAAACAGTTCTTTGTTTAGTATTATTATGTTTTGTAAAAATCGTGCTATTTCATAAACATAAAAAAAGAAAATTTTACGTTAATATGTATGACAACTTAATTTCTGTTTATAGAACTTAAAATGGCATTATTAAAAATAGGAAGATTCAATATACATTTTTATATTATATTAGAATAGTGTGCAATAGAAAACTTCAATGAATTTAAATAAGTATACTAATTAATAATGTGAAATTAGGCACAGCAATATCAAAAGGAATCATTCTTGGATTATTTTTCGATCTAAGAATAATTTTTTAATTCTAGTAATTCATAACTGTTATAAACTCATTTACAACATTAATCACAAATCAAGATGCATTATATTTGATGAGAAACGAAGAAGTTCTTCACTGTTCATCGTTATTTTTTAAATGACATATTTTATCAGGTGAAAACAAACGACAGATTACTAAGTTATGACATTTTTTTCTTATAAAATGCAAAAGAAGAGAAAATGAAATCAAGCATTTCTTTCCTTTTATTAATACAATTAGTACTTTATTGGAACTTTATTTAACAGATTCAATATTTTAGTTGATTTATCGGTTCTAAAAACGAAAATTTTCATCATCTCACGTTTAACTCAAATACATTATTTATATATTTTGTTTTTCAAAAACGAAATTTTTATAATTCTTAAAATCTGCTCTCATTCTACCAAGAATTTTTTGTTATTTACTTCTGAGGAATATTTAGGATCATAGATGTGTAACCACGAGTTGACTAAGCGAGATGCTACTCGATGCTACCACAAGAAAAAAAAAAAGTAATAATTACCGTCATTGACATTTAACTTTATGAGTTTCCTCCAATGCTATCGTGTACTGGCCCATCACCCCATGATCTTCTGGTTATGCCCCTATCCAATACTATACAATAGAAACGTATAATATTGAACTAGTAAATATAAAACATGTTGCAATAAAAATGATGAATAGAAAATGTGTCGCATTGTATAATAAAATGTCGATTATATGTATTCGATAGTACTTCTTTTTATTTTTAGTTTCTTTTGTATTTTAAGATAATAATAGTTCCAATAAATTTGAAAAATAAAATAAAATTCATTAATAAATAAGTTATGTCATGTTTTCCTCTTGGTGCAGAATCTTATTTGTATTCGATATTTACTGTTAGTGATCATTAATTTCAATTAATTTCGCAAACATATATAAATACCCTGTTTCGGTATTGATGCATTGTTGTTATTATATCATCTATTTATTTTCATTCAACACGACTTTAAGCTTTTCAATAAAACAATTGAGATGAGACTCAACCTTGGTTCCTACAGAGTAGAAGGAAACAACTTTACTAACGAGCTACTATATATCTTTGTTGAATATTTTTTCCTTTGCTTTATGACTTCGTATTAAAAAAAAGTACATGTGCTTTGTATCATAACAAGCTCATAGAGTCATATGAATCCGAAAACGATTCCGTTTTCACATACAATTAAAATTTCATAAGGTAATTATTCATAGATTTCAAATGATGATCAATCATAGGAATTAGTTTATTTACATAACTAATTATTCAATGTTGAATTTTTACTGCGTGCAGACATCCATTCAATATTGTTATTAAGTGAAGTTTTTATACATATCAAAATGAAGTATGAACGTATACGACTGGTGTACACACCTGGAGGTTTAGTGTCTCAATATCGAAAAGCAGAATCCAGAAAATCCAAATCCTTTTTTAGTCATAGAATTCGTTTTCACTCTCATTGTTGTGCTGTGTGCTTGTGTATGAAATTACGTTCTATTGTGAAAAATTTTAGAAAAAGGTTTTCACCAAGAATCTACAATTTTCGGCATTTAGCTACTTTCTCTAGCTGCGTGTTTTCGATAAGAAAAAACCTATTATCATATCCATCTAGAGATCGCCTACATTTATAAATAAGATCAGATGCAAAATTCCTTTTGAAAAATTCAGAACAGACGCATATTTTAATAAAAGTTCTAATTAAACATCGTCAATTACAACACTAATTCGTATAGAGCCATCTAAAATACTTTTCAAAGTTACATAGTTTATTCATTGAAAATAGAACGTATTTTTACAATTTTGCTCACATAACTATGATTTAAATCTCTTTTTTTTATTCCGTTTTATCATAATAATCATTCTTGGTTTTATCTTTATTTTACTAACTCATATGAGTAAATGTCGTCCATGTGTCAAGAGGATATATAAAATATCAATCATTTTAAGTAGACACTTTTTCATTAAATTTTCAAAAGTTGATTGATCTCGAAGAGACAAGTTTAATAAAATTTTCAATATATTATTACAAAAAAATATTAAAGTAATAATGATAAATAGAGATAAACACAAGAAAAAGAAAACGAAGTATTATTTATACTTACGTATTAATACAAGCAAGATAGTTGGATATATTTAAAAAGAAAAAAATGATTACGAAAGATTAACAAAAATACTTTTATGCTTCAATAAATGAATGCTACGCCATCGAAATATGATGAATCTTTGGTTCTATTAGCTTACGTTGTACTTTGTATTTCATAATCATATTATGCAATAATCAAATACGTATCTTTTTTTATCTTGCTTCTCGAGGACGAATGATAGTTATCAAGTATCGAAGTGAACGGTTTGTGTAATAATGTCGAAATGAAGTAAAAAAAATGAGTGTTGAACTTGCAAACACAATGAACTATTCATATTAAACTGATAATCGCTCTTTCACTTTTTTCATAGATGAATAAATATGAGAAAAAAATTTCATAAAGCTTTATAGAATAATAATAACATTAAATTCGTATTTAATTGCTTTTTCTTTAATAAGCATTACAGATACTATAAAGTTCTCAAAGGTATAAATAAGATTGTTATTAATGAAATATATACATAGGTTTCTTGAATCGAATTTGACAAGTTGAGTAATAATAAACACTCTAAGGTACTTGCCAAAAAGCTTCGATCTTTCTCTCGAGCTACAGTCATTATAGAAGAGTTACACAGCAGAAATTTTGTGTGGATGTACTCTACAATGAGTGATAATCATTCATGTCACACATTTAAAAATTGTTCGACTTAGAATAGAGTTATAATAAGTTGAAGTCTTGCTACTTGTAGATCTTATAATTCGAGAAAGGAAAGACTTTTTAACTTAGTCAACACCTTGTTATATATGTAATACTTAATTCAGACCATTTACACTATCAATTTCATTAAATTCATTGAATCTTTGAACAGTGATCGTCACTTCTAACTATAATCTTTGACCTAGGGAACAATCATATGAAATGCTTAGGCGATATTTTCTGAAAAGTTTAGAATCAAATATTGTACTCGAAAGAAGAGTGTGAGTATAGGTATTCATCATCTCCTTATTCGCTATCAGACCAACACATATCGTGAAAAAACGTTAATAATAAATAAGTTCGTAATTAAATAGTACATTGGTTAAAATATATTTATCTTGAATTCGACTAATCAACAACTTATGTATGTTTATTGAAGACTCAGTATCTTTTGTTGTTTGAGATGATTAGATCAACTCAAGAAAGGAATAAGCAAATCATTAGATCCATTTGAACTTTGCCAAAAAATCAATTATTGATTCACAAAGAAAATTATCTATGCTAAAAATAAAGATGAAAGTAGGCGAAAGTGACCATGGTGCAAGAAAAACAATTGATAGGATATTATCTAAGTGAAAAGAAAAAAACCTTACTGTAACTCGTAATATGACTTGCAATTATCATTCGCTTATTAATTTCAAGATAGCAAGAGATTCTCTCCAACAAAACTAGGATATTTCAAAAGAACATAAGAATAGCCTTATTGTGGTATTTCTATTTGTTAAAAAAAAACTAAAAGAGATCGTCTATAAAATTTTTCAGAAACACCTAAATGACAAAACTCATGTTTATTGAATAGTTCTGAAAATATAATTGATTACTGTTTTGATTTCTTTCTACATTTTCTAATATAAAAAGACTCATAAACTACATATTTTTAGAGCTAACTGTACTGTTCGAAAAGTTTCTGTCAATTTATTGTAGAATGACTCCGTTTCACGGCCTGTGAACAGGATTGACTACAACTATAGTCAAAAATTTCAAACAACGATATCGATACAAGATCCGTTATGACTAACGGTGCTCAGATTCTCATTACATAGTCAACAATTCTTGTATGAATAAAACTCTATGGCAAGCGATTCAACTTAGAATCTTGATCACAACACGCTGAATGATTTACATTCGAAATTCAAACTATTATGCTTCGATGCAGAAAGGCACACGATTTCGTTATAAGTATACATTAATATGTGAGAAAGGCTTGACAATGTGTAGTTTTAGGTCTTCTTTTTACTGTCAGCTACACTTTCACCCTAGTTGCTCATATAATTTACTGGTCGCATCGGTTTACGATGAAAATAAAACCTGATTTAGTTGAATATTTGCTTTACATGGATACATGATCAGCTTCAATTATTTCATTTGAATGTAAAACCATACATATTTTGGCAAATTATTGCTCGCTCTTGATTTCACGTCAGGTAAACATAAAAATAAAGAAAATAACAGTGCGTGTAAGAGTGTTTTGAATGATATGCTGACATTCGTTCTTGATGTATCGAGCGGCGTAAAATATAGACATTCTCTGTAATTTTCTCTTTTTTTTTCTTACTGTTCTATACTTTGCATAACAAGTTCTATATGTTTTCTTTTAATATTTTGTATGATATTGCATTTCTTACCTTTTCTGTTTACGTTTAAGGTCAATTCTTCTGATTTTAATCATGAAAATCGTTCTTCTGATCGTTCTTTTCACGATTATCTATCGTTATTCAAAATGTGATATTGTTACTCAATTAAAAAATTTCGATTCAAATTTGAACTCTAGTAAGTTCTTACTTTCACAAAGACCATGTATTTTTTTTTTCAATTGTGCACTAACAATATTTAAGAGATGTAACAAACAGTAATAATTCTGTATCGAATAGTCAATTATTATGAAACCATATTCACATATAAAAAGACTCGACATTATAGCATTATGTCAAATCTAAAAGTTTTCAGCTGACAGTTTCACTAAATATATTCGGATTCTATATAGATAATGATCTATGAAATCCATTATCTATTGGAATATAAGTTCTTTTATGAAAAAAATTATTGAGTCCATTTATATTAGGATAATCTCTGATTGTGAGCATTAGTTTCCTTTTCCTAAGTGTTGATCTGCAGCATAGCCATGCTTGAAGAGTTTAATCAAGATTATAGTCATTCTACTACATCTAATTTTTGTATGAATTCTCATTGAAAATCTTGTACTTTCAGATTTTTTTTGTGAAGTTGATAAAGCAATTCTCAAACAGAAACGAAAAATAAGAATAAGAAAATAAAATTAAACTTATGAGAATCTCAATAAGTGATGTGCTCAAACAAGACAGTGCATGGTAGAGCGAAACCTTATAATAATAATTTATTTTTTGCATGGAAAAACATCCATTTTTCAAATATTATTTAGTCGAATGAGTCAGAAAACATAAGTAATTAGAAACAGCTGAAAAATTGTGTTGTTGAATATGAATTTATCTAAAGATACCCAAGTCATAAAATATGAGTTCTTTCCGACCAGAAAAAAGAAGTTCGGTGGCTGGATCTAGTAATCGACTCTGCTTGACTACCATCGACATAACAAAAATTCCAACTGTCAAATTCTTGCATCTAAGTTTCTACTATTCTTCCGAGTTTTCCCGTTAGAACCTGCTAGAAATTCAAGGATATAGGTGTTGGAATTATTGATCTGAGTAAAGATACTAAAAGACTTCTATTAAACTACTAGAAGTTATATTCTCTCTGAATTCAGAATCTAAAGTAAATCGATCTGTTCTATGTAAGAAATTTTAAGTAAAATGTAGTCTTAAACTTGCTGTTTTTTATGCTATTTTCAAAAATTTTGTAGTAAATGCAAGAGCATTTGGCAATTCAACATTAGCAGCATACGGTGCAATGGTTAGCATAGCATCAACTAATGTACCAGCCTATTCGAATGGAAATGATAGCTATATATCCAACGAACCCAACTATCTTTATAATATATATACTGGAATGAAATGACAATGTGTTGAATATGCACGTCGATGGCTTTTCATACGTAAAGGTTGTGTTTTTGATAGTGTTGACGCAGCCAACGATATGTGGAGTCAAATTTTTAAAGTTCAACGAGTTGTCGATGGAAAATGTTTTTCTCTAAAACAATATCAAAATGGTTCAACGAGTCCACCGAAAAATGAATCATTGCTCATCTATAGTCTTGGTCAACATATGCCATTTGGACATGTTGCTGTTATAGTCGATGTTTTAAATGATTCTATTCGTGTTGCTGAACAAAATTATCATGCATATTATTGGTCGGGTAATTATTCTTGACAAATTCCATATGTAGTGAAGAATGGTAATTACTATATTATGGATAGTTATAGGATTTATGGTTGGATGTCAGTTGAAGATAATAATCAAAATTATCCATTGAATCAACCAACAATAAATAAAATCATGGAAAAAAATATATCGTTTCCCAATTTCATTTGTTCAAAAAGTGTCACTTCATTATGCAATTATTTTCTTTTCTGTTTCTTTTACGTTTTAGTCATTTTTATTGATTTTTCTCCAATCTAACAATGCAGAAAACTGTGATCAAATTCCCCTGTTTGTTCCCTTACTATGAAAACATTTATTTTTCAATTTTGATGAATCATATTAAATTGACTTTATTTTCTTTTTTTCATTTGACATTGTCTACATAAAAGTAATATTCCTTCACAAAATATGAAAATACATTGTTAGAAAGGTCAATAAAGATTTTGAACAAGTGTACATACAATTTGGTATGAAATTGATAATTCACTTTGAAAGATCTTTAATAATCGAAAGTTTTGTAAAGCATAGGTTCAATCAATTGAAACCAATTGTTTCGCATCATAATGATATTCGTTTTTGGGGCAAAGAAGTAGCACATGAATACATATCTCAGTTGTAGTTTGAAATGGTATTATTTTTATCGTTTATGGAGATATTTATTTCGTGTCTTTTTTTGTTACATATAAAATACTTTGAACATCCGAAAAATATTTAGTAGTAGAACACGATGGAATCAGAGGCAATGGCTTGGTTGTATTTTCTCAACAAAAAAAAATATAGAACAATAGACAGTAGCGACTTTTCATCATTCAACAAGAGGCTGTTCCAATGGCATTATTATATATAGTATTCATCCGTATTGGTTCATAATTCGAAGACCAGCTATTTAGTCTCATGAGGGTTTATGATCTATCACTTTACAGAAATCCGACATTTCTATGCTATTTCATTCAAAAGTTAAAAGCGTTCGAATAAATCGTCATAATAGCATCATATCGGTCATTTCAAATATTTTTCATCATTCTCATTCATAAATCAAACTATTCGTTTTTGAATGTAATTTTTTATAGTCAAATAAATCTTCTCATAAGCACACTATAATATTACGATTAAAACACAGAAATTTCGCATTAGAATAACGTTTTTTACTCTTAATTTTAAGCTTCAAGGATTTTAGAATGTTTGTAATAATAGATTATATATGTTATATCAATATAGTATATTGTTGAATCATATCAACATAGATTCTTTCCATTTTGATTGGGCATGACAATGTGATGATGTACTTGTGTCATTTTTTCCTCACAAGGTTAACATACATTGACAGTCACGTTGTTTTTCTTTCTTTCCTGTTGTTTTTTTTATTTTCGCAATAACATGGTGTAATTGAGTTATTACTCAACTTAGCCAAAATTCAGCTGATCATTTGAAGAAACACATAATATGGCGTCTGCAACACAAGCAAAACGTAAAAATTCATTTTCTGATAAAAAATCTAAACAAGCAAAACAAACAAATCTTGGAGATTCAATTCATTCTCAGCAAAATCGACATTTATCATCATTATTATCATTAGATCATATACGAATATTTGCTATGCGACGTCCTAAACCAGAATGTTTAACAAATGAAAATTGGCTTATTTATAATGTTACATCAACAACAAAAGAAAAATGGTGTTTAGAATTTAGTCCATTTTTCTTAGGTCCAATTGAATTATATCCAAATAATAAAGATAGTAAAATGTTTATTGCAAAAAATATGGAAAATGCTTGGCAATATTGTAAAGTTTATAAACAATTTACTGATACAGATGGTTATTCACCATCAGAAACCTATTGGCAATGGGCTGAAAATGGTTGGAATGATTCTAAAGCACATCGTTTTCCACTTGGACGTAAAGCAAGTAAACCACTTTATTCTTTATGGAATGGAAAAAAATTAAATTATATTGAAGCTCGTAAAACAATCTATGCACCATTATATGCAAAATATGTTGAACAAACTGATGCATATAAAAAACTAAATGATATTTATATAAAATATTGTTGTGGAGATAAAAATGATAAACATAAAAAACCAATGGCATTATTAGATTTTGATGGATGGGATCATTTAGGACAAAACTATACATTAGAACAAGTTATTAATATGGAAAAACCAAAAATGGGTCATGCTTTTGTTTTAGCAGGTCTTTTAGAAAATAATTTATTTTGGTTATCCGAACCAGAAAAATCACATGTGGAAGAATTAAGAAAATCTGGTCGATTATTAAAAGATATTTAAAGTGAAATTTTTTTTTCTTTGATTTTGAAGTTACGTGCAAAATTATGTTAATTGGAGTTTTCGAATGAAAACAATGATTTCAATGTGATTACTCTCAAGCAATTTACCATAATAATAAACTAAAAGTTCATTGATCATTGTATTTTATTTTTGTTAAATAATAAGACCTTTATATAGAATAATGAATATTTTATATAATAACTAGCGGAGATACCCGATGGTAGTCATGATAATTTTATAATATATACTTGACATATTAGAAAAAGACGTCACTATGATGTTCTATCAATTATTGGAATTCGATATCGCAAAATATGTTCAGATCACTTTCCCTTTTCAACTGATGTTTTCCCCATTTTTAATTTAAAAAAAAATTCTATCCTTTTCAGTGTTCTTTTTGTTTGATCGACTTCTTTTATTACAAAAGACCGTTTACAAAAATACAACTTCGATTGCAACGCTTTTTGATACAGTACCTTCTCGATTTTCGCAACAGGGGCCAAAATAAACAAACTCTTCCCAGTTCCAACTCCTCAGCATGCTACGTTAAGTTGGCCATGAAAAAGGCAAGGGCTCTCTAGATTAATGCCAACCACCTTAAGTAATTACTCTTGAGCCTTGTCGATAGACATCGCGAAGGAAAGACATGCAGCAAATTGAAGACGCTTGAATTCAAACGGTATATCTGTAAGAACCATGAATATTCATGGTACGAATACATGCTCACTCTTTGGGCAGCCTGTCAACATTATTTTTCTTATCGTACATTAGAGATAGAGATTAGAGAATTTCCAATTTTCACAACCTGGGTGACATTACATTCGATTACCTTCCTTTCCTTGCCTGTCGCGCCAATCTATTCTCAATTTTTCTCTCCACTAAAGAGTATATCATCGAAATTTTGATGGCACTAGTTATTACGGAAATCAAATGTACAAACAGCAGACAGACAAACATTGTTATTTATAAAAACAGAAGAAGACACTCGCTTCCATACCCTATACCCACATTCAGTGCTTAGATCCTTGAATCGAACTCATTGCCTCTAAAGTCCCTACCTGAATTTTCTCCTAACGACCAAAGATTGATTAGCTAGGTTTCTTAGTAGCCCAATTCCTATCGGTTTCCAAACAACTCATTAGATTTCAAGGCAAATAGACCTCACGTTCGAACTCACCATTTCGAAAAACCCCCTGATCCATCAATTCCTTCAAAGTATAAGTGTTCTGGTCTATTTTCTTAAGTACTGAAGTCCTATTAGTTTCCAAAGAACCACTCAGGTTTCGAGGCAAATGGGCCTCAGAGTTGAGCTCACAATCTCTACATCCCCGTGCCCCATCATTTTCTTGGAGGTATAAGAGTTTTGGCCCGTTTTCTTAAGAGCTGAATTCCTATTGGTTTCCAAACAACCAATCAGATTTCGAGGCGAATGGGCCTCAGATTCGAACTCATCGCCTCAAAAAACCCCGTGCCCCATCATTTCCTTCAAAGTATATGTGTTTGGCTCTATTTTCC